AATACACTTTTATTTTCAAAGGATTCTAGATTTTCTTCATAAATAGGTTCAACTCCATCAATAATATGAAAGTCAGAATTATCATTAATATAGTAATGATTGTCTATTTCAAGAAAGTAAACATGAACAAAAGTATGTAGTAGCTTTCAATTATTTAAAAGAATGCATATATACTATCATACGATTATTCAAAATATATCAGCATTATTCAGAACAGCGAAGTATTATATATTAAGTTTTATACAAAATGCTTGATATACAATTATACATTATTTATAATATTGCAGGATTAAAAATTCTTTACTGTAAGTTGAATATCAAATATATAGTTCTTAAAATCATATGTACATCAATTTTTCTTTTATTTATTTTTTACTTTTATATACTACATAGTTACATTATTTATGTCATTTTTTATATTAATTTTTTATACTTCACTTTACTACCTTATACTTTTTAATTAATCACTAATTTATCACTATCATACTATATTATATATTTGATCTTGATTCTAATTATCCTATATTTTCTAATAACCCAATCATAGGACTTGTTTTTGTAAAATGTTCATTTCAAATTTTCATTGCACATCTATACTTAGGGTTCCTACAAACCTGAATTAAATCAAACCCAATCTCAAACTATTGTTAAAAAAAATATTTGAGTTTGATTTGAAGACAAACTTTTTGGAAAAGTTTGATTTGATTTGAAGTTTAATTTAAAATTTGTCAAACGGTTTAAGTTTGAAGAGTTCTACTAAAAATTTCATATAGAGGATATCTGGATCGCATCTTTAACACAAGTATTTTGTCTATTATTATTAGAACTAGTAATAGCAAATGCATGAATTTTAAGAATCAAGTATATGATTTTGTAGTATATTTTAATGTACCTTGTATAGTAAGTTTATCTAATCAATCAATTTTTTTGTATGAATAATAAGATGCAACTTATACTCTTAATTTATTTTAGATTATCATTTTATTTAATGTTAAAAATATGAGTTTTTATAGCTAAAAGACTTTTTATAGCATATACTGGTTTTATCATAATGATAGCAGATTGTACAGAATTATTTTTAAAATAAATATTTTAGAAGTTACGAAGTCTGGATAGTTGGATAACCAGATTATATGGTAAGAAGGTGTAAAATATCTACCATATGCTCTAATTTTTGAAATTTATAAGTAAAGCCAATTTTTTTAAAAACTTTGAAGTCAAATAACTTTTGATTTACTAGTCTGTTATAAATGATTTTACTACCAAAATGTTCATCTCTTTAAAACAATTCCAACAAGCCCAAAATCATAAAACTCCAATCACAGGATCATGAGAAAATGCGCTATCAAATAAAGTAACACACTTGTATAGTGGAACAATTGGTTTAACCAATTGTTCCACTATGCAGGTGTGTCACCTTATTTGACAGCGCATTTTCTCATGATTCTGTGATGTTCTAGACCTCGAAGACCTTATCAAACAATTTGGAGTTGATTGGATTTTTATGATTTTGGGCTTGTTGGAATTGTTTCAAAGAGATGAACATTTTGGTAGTAAAATCATTTAAAACAGACTAGTAAATCAAAAGTTATTTGGCTTCAAAGTTTTTTAAAAAATTGGCTTTACTTATAGATTTCAAAAATTAGAGCATATGCTATATAAGCCTACCTGCATGCTAATTAATTCTGTATATTACTTTGAATACACCCATGTGAGTTATTTCAAAATAAGATTTTCTAATTTCAATATAGTCAACCTTCAATAAATATATGTTGTTGAGTAAAGGTACATTTATAAAATATTTATTATAAAGAATAATTAAACCTAGTAGTTATTACTGTATCATATAACAATCGCTTGGCCTAGGCTTTAGGGTTAGTTTAGAGTTAAGGTTAGTTAGTTTAGGCCAGTTTGTTCAGTTTTGGTAAACAAATGATATTATGATAAGTGATTATCAATCACTGGGTTTAGTGTTCTTTAGTGTCCCAAATAATATACATATAATATTAAATAATTAAATAAATTATGTGCACTTATAATTATAGGGAAAGTATATATAAAGTGCACTTATAGAGTATACACATATGAGTATCGATTGTGTATAATTTATTGCAACAGTAAATTATATACTATATTAGAATGCATAACACCTGTAAGTATTAATAATATAAGTTATTTTTGAAGAACCTATTTTTTAAAATAATGCTCATGAGTATTATTTCATGCTTATATGGTATTTTTAAAACATACTATACTAATCTAGCTATCAATATTTGTAAAATTTGTAGATTAAAAGAAAAATCACTACAACAACTTATATAATCTGCTGCAATAACATTCAAAATGAAGAATAATATCCCTATTTATTATCATGAGAAATAAACTAGTAGATATCCGGTTATATAAAATAATATGTCTATTTGTGATTTACTTTTTGTATTTGAATTTTGAGAATAATCTTATTTAATAGTAGGCGAATATAAAAAAGCACTTGCAGATTTAATGAATTAATACCAAATTTAGAAAAAATGCTTGCAATTTGAGGAGTTACTTATTTCTTAATACTTGCCTTTGCAAAAAATAAATAGTGCTTTTACACTTTTAATTTGATTTCTTATTTTATTGAATTAGTAGGAATAGCTATAATAGTGGATGTATTTAAAATAAGTCATTTCTTTAGATTTTTATTAAATTAGTCTGTAAATATATTCTAAAGTATTACAAAAAAATTTTGCTGCTCTTTAAGCTATTATATCTCGGTAAGTTTATACATTTCTCATTACTAGATTAATTTAACAAGAAAGTTTAAATATTTTGTTAATCAAAGTATTCGAAAGCAATGTATGCACTTTTTATTATTTTATTAGTTTATCATCTGTGCTGATTTGGTTGATGAACAATCTTTTATTCAAGTCGATTTAGGCATTATTATTTATTAATCGAAATATTGAAATAATCTATTATTAATTTCTTATTTATACTAATTTATAATTTTTATAACTTGATTTTTTAAAAATTTATATACAAAATATTGATTATAAATTTTAGTCTTATCTGTTATGGTGGTGAATTTGCAAAGCACATCTGCTAAATGCTTTTCTATCAATTTGGTCTTTGATTTTTGCTCAAGCACTACACTACTTTTACATTTTAACATATTAAATATAATAAACAATTAAAATAAAAAAAAAGAATAATTAACATATGAATTATAATATGGCAAATTACTAGAAGTATTCGAATATTCAATGAATATTTAATGAATTTATCTGGATATTAATTCAAGAGTTCATATTTAAGAGGAACCCTATTTAAACCCAAACATGTTTGCAAACTTCAAATCAAACTCGAACCAAACTTATTATAATGTTTGAGTTTGATTTGAATTTGATTATTTTTTATTTGAATGTGGGTTTGAATTCAAACTTTATAAAGTTTATAGTTTGAGTTTGGTTTAATTTGGGGTTTGATCAAACTCAAATCAAACTAGATCAAACAATAGAACCCTAGATATACTTATATGTATGATTATTTTCATACTTACTATACTTATAAGTATTGTCATCTTTGCTACTTATAAGTTTGATAAATATGATTTTTAAATATATGTAAGAGTATAAAGATCTAAAGTTGTACTATGCTACTACATTTGATTTACATACTCTACTACTTTTGATAGAACTCCTTTACTATATATTTTGGTAAATCTGACCTAAGTATAAATACTTATTGCACAGGTCCTATGTAACAACCCATACTTTTTTTATTTATTTATTGGCATGGGATTGTTATCGTATAATAAGATAGTTATTGTATAGATATATTGAATATCTAGTTACAAACACAAGTTTATATTAAATCTTGTGCCTTCAGTATAGAATATTAACTTATGTGTAACTGAGCAGAGACACAGAAATATTTCAATTATTTTTTTGCAAATATTTCGATAAAATTTTTATTATTTTTGCTAAATTTTTGATAAATTTCAATTATTTTTGCCAATATTTCGATAAATTTCAATTATATTTTATAAAATTAGATGTAACATGATATAATGTGATATTGGTTTGCATTCTGATTGGTCAATTTCAAAGATCTGCAAAAAAAATCACATTTATTTGAATTTATTTCAAAAATCACTGAAAATTTTGAAAATTTTTCTGTGTCCCTGTAACTGAGTTATTCACAACAACTCATACAATAATTATAAAGTACTAACTCTGATGTTAATAAACTTTAAAGAATTTGTTAATCGCAAATATTTGCCACAAATCTAACACAGATTCTATGCGTATATTTTAAAGTAATAAAACCTTATACTACAGTTATGACTATGACCAATGAAGGCATATATTATACCTATTTTGCAAAATCTTTTGAGCAGAAGGTTGTTTAAAATATCAGTAAGTTTTTTAAAATAATACAATTTTCACATTACACTGATTTTTTGAAGCTAATTGATTCTAACATGATATCATCAAATTTGAGTATGGCAAATTTAGAACCTTCTATTAACTAAAAACAATTTTGTCTGCTTTAACACAGAAATGTATAGACTGCAGCAGGCTATTATTAGTTAAAAATAGGGTAAAGAACTTTAACAAATATAAAATTTTAAAATATAAATATAAAAATAACTAGAAATCGCCGCAGGTGATTATTACCTGTAATTTACAATGCATAAAAAATAATAATTAATTGATGATCCATATGCAAACCAGTGAAGTTTATTATTAAAATTTGGAGAACATTTTGTAGATCACTTATAAAAAAAATCACGAGTATCAAACTTTACACTAAAGGTCAATAGGCAAAATTAATATTGAACCTGTATTAAAAATTAGTGTAACCGAATTGTCAAAGCCACAAGAACCAGATTTTAATAAATTTTTTTTACGAATTTTAATCATTAAAAACTTTTTATTAGAGAAACGCCAGATTTTAACCTTCCAAATAGCTATAATTCACTAGTACTAGTATGACAATATATCAAGTTTTTACTATTTATTGAAAAATACTATTTTGACTAACGAGTACAATTTTTGTTTATGCTGTGTCGCATATCGTCCTATCCAGTTTTGAATCGTTGACACCTTCGGAACGTCACTTTCTTCTAAGTTACTTATTTTTACCAGCTCAAGTAATTCAGTATGCATCTCTTCTGTGGTATAATGATCACTTTTGTTAATGTTACCCGCTAAGAAATATCCTTCCAGATAAGTTATAACATGTTTACTAATTCTTTTACCTCCGCCTCTTTTTCCAAATTTTTGGTTTTCTTTTAAAGCCCAGCCTAACGCAAGTGGAAATTCACTGTATATATTTTTATTTGATAGTAAATGTATGTGGATATTTATAACTGCAAATGAATTTAGTTTTTTTTTTCTTCGTTTGAATTCAATGCTTCAGCAGATAATTCTGTAATTACATTGTAATTAGTTAAATTTTAGTATTACCATAGACCACTGTATACAATACCCGGAGTCTTATTCAAGAACTCTGTTTTTAAAATTGAATAGTACCCATGGGTACTGTGTGAAGAACCGGGTACTATATTTGGGGATATATCATAGTAAAAGTAGTAAATCAACATAGTTATACCCCGAGTCTTATTCAAGAAACAGGATGGTAGGGATGGTGAATAATACCTGGGTCTTAATCATTTTAGGGGGATACTGTATACAGTGGTTTTCGGTACTTTTACGCCTGTTAACAATACCTGTTTTCTGTAATTCCGGTTCTTGGGATAATTTATTATTCAATAAAGATATCAAATCTTGTTTTGTACTTTCATTATTATAGCTAACTCCTCGATTTGTTAATTGTGTTTTCAGTTGATCAACTGTTAAACGATCAGGATGGATTTCAAAAATAGAAAATTAGATAGCAGTATTATAGGGTCCGTATAATTTCACTGGCAATCACTTCAAAAACACCGCATTCCATCGACATTCACCTCACTGACAAACTTATTTTACGGACAATTAATTTTCATCTCGTAGACAGTATATTTCACCGACAACTCATTTTACAGAAAATTTTTTTATAAATCGCACTAATCTTAACTCTAATTTTAAGCCTAACCCTAATGACAATGACCAGAATTACTTTGTGAAATGAGCTGTCGATGGTATTATACTGTCTATGAAATGAACTTGTCTGTAAATTAATCGTCTGTAAAATAAGCTTGTCGGCGAAATATGGTGTCTTTGAAGTAATTGTCAATGAATAGATCAAAACAGCATGATTTAGTAAAAAAAAATTCATTACTTGACTTATGTGGCATTGGAACAAACCATGGAGACTTGGGAACTGAATGCTGAGAAACTTGAGGATTTGGCTTTTGAATATCTTTTTTTTGTAACTTTTCTAATTTTGCAGACGTAAATTCGTTCCATTTACCAATATTAGGAATCGCATGTACTCGAACATATCCTGTATTATTATCGTCCCATGGCCATTCTCATGAAAACCAGTTTGAATTACCTGGTAAAGTATTAACCCGCTTTTTACCTGAAACTAATATATATAAAGTTAGTTTGCAATTATTTAACAGCTTATTTATCATTACCTTTAGGACG